GCTAAATGTGGGCCTGCCAAATGGCCAAATGGCAGATCGATTTTAGTATATTCAAATTTGGTCGCAGGTAACTATATATTAGGTCTATAACTACATTCGTTCGGTTTGGTTTTATTTTTCAATGTTTGCACGTTTATTTAAGAAAAACATGTACAAAAGTATTGTATCAAATATTGTCCATCTAAAGCTGATTACATTTTCCATCTCTTTAAGCAATTTCGAGAATATGGAATTATGAATCAAGCCAATTTTTAATTTTTACTGAGGCCGATCGTTTCTATGATAGAAAATTATTTCCTTGTGTCTAGTCGTAAAATCCAGGTTGATGAGTTGTTCACCGGCTTTTTTGTAGCTTTGAAGCGGCATATCTGACATGTCGTCTCTTCATCGTCTTTAAACGTCTCTTCTCTTCAATTCATATGGCATCAAATTTCCTTGCTTTTGATTGTATCCGTCTGCTTTTCAACGTTTTTAAATGGCAACTTGAGTGACTCCCAAAGATTTTGCGTCCTCTTCAAATTATTTTACGTCCAATATACCGATGAAAAAATAATTAAGTCTTACAATAAAACTCATGAAAATATTGAAAAAAATTAAAATTCGTCAAAGAGAAGTTTCTGCATCTCAGTCAGTACTATCCTTTTCAAGATTAAGATCCTTTTATATCCTAAATTGGCCCACCCAGAAGGAAGGAGACCCTTTAAAATAGGTATACAAATGAAATCTTTTTGAGTACTAATTTGTAATTCCACATGAGGGAACATCGAAAAATTTACCTTCGAAAAAGAAAAATACACCACACAATATGTCTGTGGTGCTGCTTGTCTAGCACACTTCTTTATGGCAATGTAAAATATTTTGCCTAAGTTCATATCCTAATATATATTTTTATACACTCTTTTTTATTTTTATAACTCTTTTTTATTAAATGATATTTTAATTCTATTTTTATATTATTTTCCTCATTATTTATATTTTCTTGTCAGAAGTCAATTTCTTTCGTTTTTATTATTTAAATTTTTGTTTATGCGCATACCAAAGAACATCTGTGCATATGTATGTATATACATTTTGCTTATAGAGTGGTGTAGTTCGTTGCGTACCCTGAAAGGGTGGTGACATTTTATTTTCGAACTTGCACGTTTTCGATGTTCCCTCATCGTAATTAACATTTTAGAACAGCTAACATTTGCTCCTTTTCTATTCATTTACATTCTCTGGTACAATCTCAGAAGATAATGTTCTGATCGGACCACTATAGCATATAGCTTATTTTATTAAGTTCTGGTATGAAATCTTTTGTATTTGAGAAAGGTATTATAGTTTCAGTACAACCCAAGTTAACGTTTTTTCTTGTTTTTAATTAATGTGGTTTAGTGGAAAACATAGAAGTCTTCCCATATGGCCTTTTTATATTGAAATGATGTGCAACTACAAATGCATATTAAACAAGTAAGGAAGGCTAATTTCGGATGTAACCGAACATTTTATACTCTCGCAAAGTCAAATGGTATACTCGTTTTAGATTTCTTTGTGGATCTTGCGGTCTTGTTTTATGTTGACCGATATTTTCGGTAAAAAGTCAACTACTTGTATAGTCACTGGGGTCCACATATTCAGTACCTAGGGGCTTGAACAGTTTTGATTCAATTTAGATAATTTTTGGGCACAAGGCATACTTTCAGTTAGTAAGTTTTATCCCGATACAGTCATAGTTGCCTGATTTCCATAGTCCAAAGTGAAAAAATCAGATGGAATTTAAAATGATGTTATGTGGGAAATAGGCGTGGTTGTAATCCGATTTCGCCCATTTTCGTACTATAACATAGAAATATGAGAAGAATATTATTATTACCGAATTTGTTTGAAATCGGTTAAGCAGATCCCAAGATATGGGTTTTCACCTAAAAGTTGGCGGTGCCACGCCCACTATCTAATTTTGAACGTGGTTTCTATCAAATCATCTTATACCATCCCAGAGATAAAATTTACTGTCTCTGGCTTGTTTAGTGCTTGATTTATCGCGCTTTTAGTAGTTTTTAACAGTACCGTTATATGGGGAGTGGGCGAAGTTGCCACCCGATTTCACTCATTTTCACACCGATAGAGGTGCTAAAAACATTTGTTCTTAGTGAATTTGGTTATTGTAGCTATGGATGTTTAGGAGATATGTACATTAAACTTATTAGGTGGCGGGACCACGCCCACTTTAAAAAAAAAAATTTTAACTGCAGATGCCCCTCCCTAATGTGATCCTGTATACCAAATAACAGTCTTGTATCTTGTTGAGGAGCTTAGTTATGGCAATTTATTTGTTTTTGATTAATGCCGTTTTGTGGGCGTGGCAGTGGTCCGATTACGCCCATCTGCAATACCAACTACTTACGGTACAAAGAAACATGTCTACCAAGTTTCATAAAGATATCTCAATTTTTACTTAAGTTACAGCTGATCATCTTGATCACTTATATATATATATAAATCTATATCTAACTCGATTAGTTTTAGGTGATGCAAACAACCGTTAGGTGAACAAAACTATTATACTCTGTAGTAACAAGTTGCGAGAGTATAAAAACAAACATGAAACCAATTTTTTTTATTATTTCAAAATTTGTCGGCCTTCAATAAGTAATGCCGAATTATTATGAAAAACTACATAAGCGCCTAAGCAGCACGTTCAAAAGATAAAATTTTATTGTCATAAGTACGCCAAAAAGTTGTTTATTTAGTCGTAAGTTTGAATAAGCAATTTTGCGATCGACGATTTCAACGGTAAACCCCTGTATTCAAAAGCATCTCGATTAAAAACACATTGCCATGTTATTCACAAATTTCAAGGCAATTTTTATGTTCACTGTGACCATATTAAAATCATGATGTGAATACTTATTAGACTTCGAACAGTAGCAGGACTCCTCTTGACGTCTTCTACACATGAATCACCGAAAAAAAAGTATGGGTTGTTTTCGCTGAAGTCTCCCGTTCCAACACTTGATATTCCTAAACAGAGAACGTAAAAGAATGAGAAGGTGCAAAGGTGTTCTTCTACGTTCTCTGCCTAAACAACGATATCTAAGTCCTGCGAGCAAAACACCGCCTATCTCTAGAGAAGGAATTTCGTAGTTGCTATAGCAATATTTATAGAGTAATTGTCAATTCAATCAAAAAACAGTTTAGAACATTTCATCATTTTTGATTTTGAAAATCTTTTAGATGTTCGGAGGTGGCTTAAAAGCTTCTTAGTCAACTCAATTAGTATGAGTATTTTACTCAAATTGACTTTTAAAACAATACCAGATATGTTACTTCCTTTCATTAATTAATGGTATGAATGAGTTAATAATAATTATTTAACTATTTTATCAGTTGTAATTTTTTGAGCTAAATATAACAAATATAAATGATATTTATAAAAGTAGTAAATAAATGCCTTTATATAAACCATATGTAGAATTTTGATAATTTGCTATAAAGGTTCTATTTAATCATAGCGTTGATTGAGTAACATTAATTGCAACTCTGTGTATAACAGCTGGCAATGCATTTTCTGCATTACAAATTTTCTAGGAAATTTAAAAAACATTAAGCCCATTTATAAACATACATCTATTACTTGTTGTGCATAGTAAATGTTATAGCTTTTCAAATATTATAAATATAAAATTTGAAAGAAGAAAATTTGATTGTGTTGTCACACAATGTCCCTTAATTCGGGCTGCACTGAAAATGAGCGTAATAAAATACCAAGGATCATGACGTTCCGTCCCAGCTACGAGGAATTCAAGAATTTCTCGAGTTATGTCGAATACATGGAAAGTCGTGGTGCAAACTTAGCAGGACTAACGAAGATTATACCACCACCAGAATGGGTGCCACGGAAATCCGGTTATAATATAGACAATATAAATATGACAATACCCGCACCAATTTGTCAAGTAGTGTCAGGTAACTAAAAAATGCAGAGAAAAATTGCAACTTGACTTTTCATTTCTGCACTCGTCAATTTTACAGGAAAGCAAGGTGAATATCAGCAAATCAATGTCCAGAAACGTTCTATGACTTTGCGACAATTTAAAGAAATGGCCGAGTCGGAACGTTATCAAACGCCACGACATTTTGACTACGACGATTTAGAACGAAAATATTGGAAAAATGTAACATATATTGCACCATTTTATGCGGCTGATGTAAAAGGTTCCTTAAGTGATCCGGATTTGCGAATTTGGAATATAAATTGTTTAGACACAATACTGAATTACGTGAATAAGGATTACGGCATTGAAATTGATGGTGTAAATACAGCGTATCTGTATTTTGGTATGTGGAAGAGCTCTTTTGCCTGGCATACGGAAGATATGGATTTATATTCAATAAATTACCTGCACTTTGGTGCACCAAAGACTTGGTATGCAATACCACCCGCATATGGTCGGAGATTAGAAAAGTTGGCGAATCGACTTTTCTATGAAAACTATCAAAATTGCAACGCATTTCTGCGTCACAAAATGACACTGATAAGCCCACAAGTATTGCGACAGAATAAAATACCGTTTAATAAAATTACCCAAGAAGCTGGAGAAATTATGATAACATTTCCTTTCGGCTATCATGCTGGTTTCAATCATGGTTTTAATGGTGCAGAGTCAACTAATTTCGGTTCTAAGCGATGGATTGAATATGGCAAGCGTGCCAGCATTTGTAATTGCCGAAAGGATATGGTGAAAATATCAATGGAAACATTTGTACATCGTTTCCAACCAGAACGTTATGAAAACTGGCTAAAAGGTATCGACTATGGTTGCCATCCAGAAGAACCTGGGAAAATTTGCGCTGCGCCTCCACCCACAATCAACAAATATTACTATTCTAAGAGGTAGGTAGAAGATTTTGCATTTGATATATATATACATTTTTTTGTTGTTTGTTTTTGATGTAAGAAACGTATTGTTTTACTATATGCAGAAGACAGTCTGAATCAATGGAGTCGGTAGCATCACAATGTTCGACGTCAAAAGCTAAGGATTCCAATCAAAAGCGTGGTTGTACCTCACTTGCTGTGCCAGAAGACGCCACCACCAATGCGTGCTTTGCCAAAGTGCCGAAAATTATATTAACGAAAATAGATAGCGCAAGCAGCAAAAATCTAGACATTAATGCCATAGCAGTGATGCGCTTTAAAAAACTTTGGAATAACATACCATGCGAAAAGGAAGGTAAGAATCTGCTAACCAATGGCATAATCAAAAATACCAAAAGAATGCGTTTTCAAACGAAAACTATAAAGCTTGATGATGAGGACTAGTCTCGCGTTATATTTTTATTTTATTTAATATTACTTTGATTACTTATTTTATATACTTATATGTATAAATGAATGATTTGCTATGCCATGAGACTGTCGTCACCTCGATTAGATTAGTAAATACATATATGTATATGTCAGCAGTTCTAACAAAAAAGCGCATTTTTAACGGTAAAAATGCTAGGAATCCTACAAAAGCCACTACATTATTCGCGCTTTTTGATATATTTTATGTTTTTTTATGTAGTCTTATATGAAACTGCTGACATTTATTTAGAATTAACACTAATTAATATTACGTTTATGTGTAATTATCAATTCCCTTTCCATTTGTTAAACAAATCTGCAATTGCAGGCAAAATAGAATTTATTTCTAAAAGGTTGTTCACAGTCTAGTCTTGGCAGTAATTTTCGCTATAGTCGATGACCTTACAAAATTTTCCATTTTGAGCAATATTTTATATTTTCTATTATACATACACTTTTTTATGTTTATTGGAGTCTGTGAATTTCCTACGTGTTATTATTTAACAATTCTATTTAAATTTAATAAAAATACATATGTATATATTTACAAATGTATATTTAAATTTAGTACTTTCAAGCAGAAACCATATGACATGACAAAAAATAAATAAAAAATTACAGTTACGGATGTAAACATTAGTACTCTGCACAGTGCTTCATGAAAGTGTTTGTATATAAAGCATATGTTTAAAATTTATGTAATTAAGTTACTTAATCCTTGCGATTTCTACACAACTAATTTTTTTAAAGAAAACGGAAAAAAAAACAATTATATTTCTTAGCATAAAAAACTCTTACCTAGCTTCGACTGTTTGGTCGACCAAAATCATATATTATTAAAGGGTCTTTGGTTTATTTAGCTATTTAGAGTGATAGTACATGTAGGTACTGTGTTTCAATACTGAAATGATGGTGCTTCAAGGCTGCAAGGAGAATCCTGCCCGATACAGACATTCAAGATCCGCGGTTGCTTGGGACAGTATTTGTGTGAACGCGCCATTATGGATTTTACATCTTTGAATTTTTTTTTTTGCGTTAAAAAAATTGCAACAGATTTGCTCAAACGAATAGTGCCGTTAACCTACCAATTATGCACTTTAAAATGTTTTATATATGTATAAATCTTTCTTACAAAAAGACATTAGGTTGTGTATTT